TTGGGGGTGCTGCCCCCGTTGGATAGGGGGGCGGGGCTGCCGCCAGCTTCGCCCCCCGAGTCTTTAGCGAGGGTGTCCATCTTCTCCTTGGGGGCCTCCCTGGACTTTTCACCATCTCTGGTTTTACTCAGCAGCTGCTCCACCGTTTCTGGGGTGGAACTGGATTGTAACTGGGGAAAAAGAGAGAGGAAAAGGGATTCATCTCCTAATCCGGGACTTACGGAAAGAAGACACAGTCTGCAATTGCAGTCCAGGAAATGCTTCCTGCGAATCACATTTTGAAATAAATGCACTGATTTCTAGGGTCACCAGAATGCTATAACATGTAGAAAGTAAAGATGTACAATACAGGGCTGCTTATCAGCACTAAATGCAGTTCTCTTTCTCTCTTTAAAAAAATAATTATGTGGGAGACAATTCTTCCTTACAGCAGTGCAGCATTTGATGACTTCTTCACTTAACACGTTTTAGGATGCATGTGATCCCAAACAAAAACGTCCAATGTTTTTCTAAACGCACGGACATCCGAGGGCCACCCATCTACAAATACCTCCACCAGAAAGTTGTGACTGATGGCAGTACTTTATGGAGAAACTCCTGACATCTCGTTACATACGAGAACTGGCCTAAAGTATAAGGCGAAGCGTAAAACACTCCATTACGCACAGTCCTTTAAAATGCCTCCGAAAACAAGCATCTTCAAGCAAGTGGAAATTATTTTAAGACCCCTTGACAATTATGTCTTATAGCAAAATAGTTTTCAATGAGAATTTAAACTCACTTTATAATGCTCACCTCCCTAAAGCAAAGAAACTTATCAGCTCCACAACCAGCTTTTCCTCATTTCATATCCTCCCTTTCAATATCTCTTTCCCCAAGACGTAGACCTACAATTTCTGGAAAGCTTCACGCCTTTACTGAATGGCTGAAGAGGAACGGAATGAAACTTAGCAGCAGAATAGCAAAGGCCCTTACCCTAAAGTCATTCTTGAACTTCTTCAAATCGTCAATCTGTTTTCTGTGTTCTAGAACAGCTGGAGAAACTCCTGTTTGAGCAAATATACGAGTTATCAACAGAGGAGCCAGGAATGGTTCAGTGGGACAGCCCCAAACTAGAGGACTGCACCACCTTAGGGAAAAAAACGACCCAGCCACAATGCAGGAAGGCCCGTGAGAGCTGAGTGGTTAGAGCAAGAGGAATTGGAAGATTCTACAAATGCTACTGTCTCCCTGGCAATTTTCTGTGCCATGATCTGCGAGTGCCTTAACACTTATGCTCAGAACATGAAGGAATCGCTCTGCTTATGGTTTGCAACAGACAATGTCCAATTTCCAGCGTGTGCCCAGAAACGCAGGCAACACAAGCAGCAGAAACAAAAACGAATGGGCTGGATTCCAAATGATCACGCTTAGAGCAGACTCACAGGATGCAAGCAGTCGGGACAAAGTCTCACTGATTTCAATGGGTCTATTACTAAGTCTGGACCAAAGTCAGTGTTTTTAGGCTGGGAAATCTGTACTTGGAAGAAATGTCAGGTTGCCTGGAGGGGAGGGGGCCTAGAAATTCAAGAGAGCAATGCCAAGTTTGGAGCACTAAGTACGGACATTTCCCAGAAATGATTCTCCACTACTGCAACTTTCCCAAAATGCCGACAGATGCAGGAAGAAACATTTCCTCCTCTTTGCACTGAAAGTGACCTCCGAGGTGTCTCGTATCCACCCTTCACCACCTCTGCAGCCCATTCCCTACCGATGCACCTTTTTTAAGGCCAGGGCTAGAGCCGTCACCGCAGGCTTGCAAGCGCGGCCCTCCCTTCCCACCCCAACCTTCAGCGAGGTCTTACCTTTGCCTTCGGGCTTGCTAAAAGCAGGAGACGCTTCGCTTGGCTTGAGATGCTCCTTGGCTGCAGCAGGGGAGGAACTCTGCTCATAAAGCCTTGAGTCTTTAGCTGGGAAAGAAAGCCAGGGTCACCTCCGTGGGGCAAGCCAAGGAGCCTGCGTGAGGTTTCCGGGCGCAGCATTCTGACAACCCTCAGCAGCAACACGCAGGCAGGAAGGGGGAGGGGGAACCAGGAGATTTTCACACCACTTAAAAGTCTGCAAACCTGAGACACCAACTAAACGTTGCCCCACCTATTCCCTACTCCAGAGGAAAAGAAAGCACCCCGGCCCAGAGATTAAGGGTCTGCCTAAACGTTAACGCTCCTCCCAAAAACAGAAAGACAGCAAGCACGCTTAACAGCTGACACTAAAAGTGGGAGAAGGCCTTTGTTCCCCAGCCCCTCCTGCACAGAGGCAACGCTAGATCCTCGCGTGGCTCCGCTTTTTCAGCCAGGCTCGGCCCGGGGAAGGCTGGAAGGAAACAAGGCGCCCTTTACCTTCGGCAGACGGGGTGCCCGCTCTGTTAGAAGCAGGACTGGCAGGGGTAGGAGAGGCCGCCGGAACCGGTGTGGCGGCAAACTCCGCTGGAGTAGAGCCAGCTTGGGGGGAAGACAAGGCTGGGCCAGAAGGTATCCCCCCCCCACTGCTCTGCCTTGGAGACCGGGGTCTGTGTGCCTTGGGGGAGGACCTGGTAACTAGAAAGAGAAGGAAAAAACACTCTGCCACAACGTTCCCCGGCTGTCAAGAGCGAAACCTACCACTATGACCTATACAGAGGTATCAAACTGTAGCAAAGGGGAAAAATACCCCTTGCCCTCCCCCCCCCGCCCAGGAGCTTCCTCAGATATACACGATGCAGCAACCGGTATTCCCTGCAACGCGCGTTCTTTCTTCGATCCAGCACGCTTGGTGGGACTGCCCCCCCAGAATTCCCGGTCAGCCTGGCCAAAAGATTCCCGGTTATGAAGGGCGTGTGTGCGCACGGTGCGGGTCACTCCTGCTTACCGCCTTCCCCCAGACGGACAGCCTTCACCACTGCCGATGGCTCGGTCGGCCGCGGGAGGGAAGGAAGAAAGCTGGTCTGGAAATTCAGGAATGTTTCAACCAGAACGCTTCGAGCGGGACTTTTCTACTGCGAGCCAAGCTTCACTTACCCCCCATGACCACCGAGGACCACGTCCCACCTGAGGAGCTGCCTCGGGCCGCGGATGGGGCGCTGGCTTCGCCTGGCACGTTGTGGGAGACGAACTCTAAGCCGCTCGAAATCACGCCCCTCCCCGCCGAAACTCTGTGGCCTCGAGGGTGCCGCTGCGCCTTCGGAGACATCCGGGGGGGCCCTGGAAAAAGCAACACAGCCCCTAAACTGTGAATACTAGGCAAAAGCCCCTTTCCTCCTCAGCTACCTTCCACCAGCGCAACTGCCTTTTAGCTGCCGTGTGAAGTTTCACCAGACTTAACGCGAGTGTCTTCCTGCCTGCATTTATTTATACACAGCTCTTCGGGAATCTGCAAAATGAAATCATGGGATGGGACAGAAGGCCCCGGCGGTGCCCCTTCTATACACGGCCACGCGTGAAAACAGGAGACGGGCAGGCAAGCAGATTCTGCCTCGGTTTCAGGTGCCCACCAGCTCTTCCTGAGGCACCCCCAAATCCTAATCAGATTGGGTTGGGAAGCACCAGTCCTTCTAGTGGCAGAGAAGCCGGGAAGCGTACTAGTAAGAAACAGGAGTTACGGAAGCCAAAACCCCAGCTTCGGTTTACTGTTTTCCGCTATAACGTTTTCTAAATCCCTGCATGAAGGCATTCTCCAAATTTCTCTGTAGTATTTTGGCATGGCCTTAACAGTCATCCCCTACTGTCTAGCATTGATCCTAGCCATCAGGGTGGTGAATCGTTCATCTGCCACCCCAAAACATAAATTTAGCTGCATCTTAGTCCTCTCAGTTTGGTCCACGATACTTCGCTGCTGAACCAGCCTCCCTTCTCCAAAGGCACATTACAAATTATCCAACTCAGCTGAACAGACTTCTAAAAAGCACTGTGACTATAAAGGGAACTTAGAACCCATGAGATTCTATCTAATTTTAACTATTCTGCCAGAAAACGATGGTCCTCAAAAGGGACTTTGGTGGGATTAAAATTTGAAGAGGATGTTTCTGATGAACGTGCAAATATGAAAAAAGGAAACGTCTTTTGGGGGGCCAAGCCCTCTATCAACAGTCGCTTTGTGAGAACAGAGAGATACAATATTCTCATTTGGGGGTCAGAAACTCACACTTCCGGTCCCCAGACCTTCTCCTGACCTGACAATCAATCTCCCCCCCCAAAAAACAACAGCCAGCACCCCCCTTAACAAATTCATTCATTTGATCTCAAAGTCTTCTATGCCACCTTCCAGAACAAAATTCCCCTGGGGTGGTACATACATCATAAAGAGAAAATATTGGTGAATGCAAGGTTTTCGGTTTAACCACACGTCTGAATGTACCATCCATTCTGGGCAAAAGCAGCGTGAGCCCCGAAGATGCCTTATGGCAATGGGCAGCAAATGCCTGACCCTCCTCAGTGTTAACAAGGGGCCGGGGGAGAGCCTGTGACCTTGCAGCCACCATCACACAACCAAAGACGTTACATCCACGTGGGCTTTGCAACACCACGAGTGGTGCATCTTCTTCTCCCAGCTTCAGAAAAGGGCCGTCTCATTCCAGTTTGTTTTGGGTGAGGTACGCCCTTGAAGAAAGCCAAAGGAGTAGGAAGTAGCCGGATCATCCGAGCAACACTGGCTCTTCTGCAAGAGCACAAATTACAGGCTCACTTCTTAACCGTAACTCACAAGAAGGGAGGGAAAATAAAACACAAAGACAAACAAAACTCATGAACAAACAAAACGGTGGTATTTGTACCTTCTGAAGACATGCGTTTAGGCAGAGTAGAGCCAGGAGCAGAGGGGTGAGACGGGGGCCTGGAGGACCGCGAGGGGGGCCTGGAGGGCGGCCTTGTAGGGGTGGCTGCCCGAGACGGAAGAGAGTTGGGACCTGACGGGTAGCGAGAAGGTGGGCGAGAGGAAGGAGATGGGCAAGGCGATGGCCAGGGAACACCTGACAGAACAAATGATATGAAGGAAAGCATAAAAACTAAAGAAAAAAAATTATGGGGAAAAAACAGGGTGGGGGGAAAGTAAAAATGACAAAAATGATTTCTCATACTTTTGTTTTAAACCCCCTGGGGATTTCTGCAAGCTCACACAGAGAACTAAGCTTGGGAAACGTCATTCCAATCTCTTCCCGGGACATCGGCTTACAGAAAGATCACCGTCCACCGCCGGGGTTTCCGCCAAGGGGTTAAGTCCAAGAGCTACCAACTCTCTTGCGGAGGAGACCATGAAGGCTAGGTCCGCCGGCCTGCCCCATCCTCTGGACTCCACTTCTCCCACCTGATATTCTGGAGATGACCTCACGGGAGGGAAGAAACGCCCAGGGGACAGCAAATCCTCCGCACTTCAGAAGAGGCTTTGTTATGCCCTGCGTGTTACTTGGTCCCAGGCATTAAGGGGTGGAGGTAGAAGCAAGCAGATCACGGGGGCTTTTCTTTAAATAGGGAGTGCTCCCTGATGGCTGGATCTGTGCCCTCCACTCGTAGAGACAAGGGAGAAGCAGAGAGACCCCCTTTCCCCAAGCACGGCGTTCAGCATCTGACATTCACTCTCATGGTACCCTTTCAATAATCAGGCCACCCAGCCTTTTAGGGAAACAGGAATGAGCCCCCAAGTCTCAGCATAGTTCTCCTTGCCCTGGCAGTGAGTGGTCTAGAGGACACTATTTTCAAACCCGAACCAGCTTTCCCCTGAACAACGCAAGATCCCTCCCTTCTCCACCATATCAAAAGCCCCAATGGCCACGGGGGTGGCGGGTGGGTGGGCAGGGTGTGTGAACGGTTCCATCAATGCTTCAATTCATCTGAACTGGGTCCTGAAGTCCTCCAGGGACTGCTGGAGCAGAAAGGACATGGCCTGGCGGGCTGAAATTCTTCTGACGCTTCACAAGTGCAACACAACGGGGGGGGGGGGTTGGCCACTGGCAGTGTAAGTTGACCTTCCCCTCCACTTACCTGCATCACTGCACAGCCTACTCCCCCCGCCCAGTTTGAGATCAGTCTTCGCTTGTAGGGAAATGTATATTCTGCCACAGGGCGCCAGACCCTCGCCCTCATCCCTAAGACCCTGAAAAGTGCCCCATTATCTCAGCGGACCATGCCTTAATGTTCCTTCTTGCAAGAGGGCAGAAGGCAAAAACCATGCGCTGAGTATTCATGGTGAGGGAGGCCTGAAATGGTCAAGCTACAGAGAGGAGGGGACTGCTTTCTCCTCCGTCAGACCAGCACTTTACCGGGGAGTAAGCAGAAAGATCTGCTGGCCGCTAGTCCTACCAGCTCCCCCCCTTCAGAGCTCTTAATGAGTTCCAGACCCCTTTCAAAGAAGGTGAGTCCACCCTTCGAGGCCGCCTCTGTGCCCCAGGAGCAGATCCACCCCAGTCACTTTGGGCTCCGTTTCAGCCAAGGCAGGGTTTCTCAACCTTGGCAGCTTTCAGACGGGTGGGCTTCAACTCCCAGAAGTCCACCCGTCTGAAAGTCGCTAAGGTTGAGAAATCCCGAGCTAAGGGATTCATCAGTGACTTCCAAAGGGACGCAACGGTGGCTGGCCTTGACGTCACCAGGGATACTTGCCTCCGTTCACAATTCTCTGGTCTGCCCCCGAGGTGAGGCTGTAGTCCGACGAGTGAGAGCCGGGTCTTGGCACGGAGGGGCCCGATCCAGAAGGGCCGGCCCTCGGTGAATTCTGCCTTCCGGGGCCCCAAGGAAGGATGTCTCGATTCCTCTGGCCCGGTGGGATGTACTTGTTCTCCCTGAAAAGGGAGGGGGAGGGGACAGACGTGCCGTTTAAGGCCCCCCCAAACAACGAAAAAAGAAAAGCGAAAGTCCGTCCCCCTCAAGGACAGGGCGAGAGGCAGGACTGCGAATGAAATGTCCAGGGAGGAAAGGAAACGCGCCGTTATTAAGGCAAGCACGAGGTAATCCATCTTTGGTGGTCGCACCGCTTGCAATTCAAATTAAGACACAAAGGGGCCTTTGCCAGCAACGACAATCGGGGCGCAGAGAGCCCCCAACAATTTTGGGCGTTAGGAGAAAGCGACAGAGCAAACAGTCTGGGATTTAATTCAGTCCCAGTTTTCACAACTCTTGAGAGCTGATCCGGCCGCAACTGGTTCTCCCCCCCGCCCAACCTTTCCCCATCGCTGTACCTGGGGGCAGCAGGGTGGCCCTCTCGCTCGGCAGCGTTTCTCTGGACTGCGGTGTATTTTTCTTCTTCTGACCGGTCATCGTTTTCCAAAGCCGCCCGAGCCTTGTGCTGGGCACTGGATTCGATTTCTTCTGCTAACTGGGTTGCTCTAGCTTCCCGCTTTAAATAATCTTCTGAATTATCTCTTTCTAGGGGTACCCTAAAACAAGCGGGAGACCCAAGGTGATTCATCTGTGATCCAGAGGGAAAAAAAGCACTTCCACGGATCGTAAACGTTACGGTAAAGTTCGGAGGAACTTGCTGAGGATAACATAATAGCTTAATTGGGTCTGCTCATGTTACATGAAGGGGAAAAAAATCCACTCCTTTGCCCCAGATCCACTGCAGTCAGTGATGAGATGAACTCGCACTGGATTTATAACATGCACTGAGGGGCTGGGGACCAATCCAGGAAGCAGAGCACGCAGCCGCTGCACACACTTGCTTCTGGCAAAGCGAGCTCGCCTGTGAGACGCTGATGGAAAAAATCAGGATTTACTACTTAGGAGTCAGACAGAGAAGCTGACGGCGTTTTAGAAGCCTCCTCACCAAATGGAGCTTCGCGTCATCTTATTTTGCTCATGAGTTCTGGGAAGCGGGGGGCGGTGCACATATGTACAAGAAAGATACAGTTGGAGAACTCTGCCTAGGCCAGTGTTTCTCAACCTTAGCCCATTTTTGATTGGTGGGGTTTTAATCCCCAATTTCCTCCCAGCGCCCGTCCCTACCCCCGTGGCAGGTTCGTGTGTGTCCCTCTCCACTCCTCAACT